CTTTACTCGGTGACATGCGGCGCCCGCGAGGTATGTTTTGACTTCCAAATCAACCGCTTGCTTCGGTGGCCAACACGCTACGAGGATGGGGTATGTTTAAGGACCCAGTTATCACTCCGCATTATTATAACAGTGTCAGATTCATTCACAACTGATACAACTACAGGCAGCATGCAGCGTCACATTCACCAAATAGCCGCAGACACATCGTGACGAAAAAACTGCAACGCCTTTCCGCGCCCTTTAGTCATGCAGTGGACGCACTTGATCTTTGGGATGCAAATATATTCATCTCCGCAACCGTAGTGCCACGCTGCACTGGATAAATTAGTTCTGGCTGTCAGTCATTTCGGGCTATGCTTTACACCGTCGAAATACAAATCCATTCCCTAAGATTGGCAACGGTCCACTCCTGCGCTGGCCCTTGATAGGGACCAGCTGGAAGTCGTCCAGAAATTTAAGTACTTGGGCAGCTACATTAGCGCCCGTGAGATTGAAGATATCACTAACCGTATAGCGAAAACGCGAGATGCTTTTGCCAATCTCCGCCACCTGTGACGCCGGCGTGACATTACTCTTGCTCTGTAGGGCAGAGTTTGCAACGCAGCCGTCCGTTTAACTCTCCTGTACGGTTGCGAAACCTGACCCATCAAGTCGACAGACTTAAGGAGGCTAGTTACTTTCGACCATCGCTGCCTTCGCAGCATAGCTCATGTCTGGTCGGAACATCGCGTGAACAATAGGCGTGTTCTGCGTCGCACATTTGGTGCAGGCTGAGCGAGTGAACCGCTCAGCACCAGGCTCCGATGGCTGGGCCACCTGTTGCGCATGCCAGCACACCGACTCCCGCATCGTGCGTTGTTGCGCGCCCGGGGTCTGGATGGGAGAAGAGGAAGAGAGGCCAGGCAATGACTTGGTCAAGAGGAATGAAATCCCTGACCTCGAACTTGGAGTCGGTTGGTGTTTCCCGACTGTCGGGCTGGGGACTAAAGGTTGGATACACTAATTAACATGGCGTAGAGCCGTCCTCAGTGGTGTTTGTGTTGTGAGTCTCTTTGTTCATTCCCTTAGCTTACCCCTCCAACAGCAATCTCGATCCAGGGCATACAGTGATTTAGCATTATGTTACTTTTGTACCCTTTGTAATCCGTACTGTTTAATCTCTTATTCTTTTCGTATTTCGGCTAACGTGTATTGATGATGATGATGATGATGATGACGATGATGATGGATTGCTTTAGGTGTCGGGCTCTTCCTCTATGCAGGACATCTTTATTGACATCTTTTACAATAAACTCGTCATCAGATACTAATGGGAAGCAGCAATTTGCTAGTTCAGCTCGATTGATGTGTGTGATTGCGGGGGAGCATAACCTTTGCTCACTGGGTTACCGTTGTCCGCTTCAGCTCAGGCAACGTCTGATCGATTAGTTGAAACTCCCCACAGCAACGCACGAACAGCTCCATACTTCGTGTGTGTGTGTGTGTGTGTGTGTGTGTTATCATATATATATATATATATATATATATGTGTGTGTGTGTATATATATATATTGGGGCTAATTAGATGCTCCCCTTATTGACCAGCACTGAACGGTGCTTCTGGTTTTTTCGAAAGCGATTCGGACCGACTCAACGTGGGCACCGGTGCATAATTGGATACCTATGGGGGGTGAAGCCCAGTAATCGGTCAGCCTGTTTTCAAAACCATGTGTCCGTAGCCAACTCAGTGCCGTCTGGTCGCATACCATTTTCTCACTGAACGGTGATGTTCGAAGAAGTCCTATCCACTTCGCGCTGCCTTGGTTCTCCAGATGCCTTTTTTAAGCGAATGTCATTATTCGTGTAACCTGGTTCGTCCACACCGCTGATGTTCCGAGTATCATGTTGAACTTGTGTGTATGGACGGAACTGGTGTGAGCTGGTGCACATATTCGCTACTGTTTGCTGAGGTCGTTTGATTTCTACTAATTTCATATATTACCATGATCAGCTTCTTACAGACTGAGTCTTTGAACAGTAGATTATCTCCGATCACAGAAATACGCAAGTTAGAAGACAATGAAATGACATCTCACAAGGCGGATCTGAGGAACAAGTGGGTAGCACAAGTCCAACTCAGATTACTAGCCATCGTCTCGGTTAAGTCAGGTTGGTTTATCCCTGCTGACGTGTGAAAGCACTATATATGCAAGTTTGACACCAGCACAGAACCTCAGCGCCGTCTTCTTCCTCCATGAATCGATTAGGGTGTTTGCTCCCATTGGTCTCGATTGCTTATGCTCCTCTCCACACTTGCAGACGGCGCTGTAGGAATTACTTTCGATTCTGAATTCACCGTGCCGTGACCCCTTCTGAGTGAGAGCCTGCGCTGCGCCCTCCAAATTTGTTTAGTTTAGTAGATTGCGTGGAAGCCGCGCCACTACTTCATCCTCCGCAATTTTGTGTCCGAAAATACAAGCTGTGTGTCTATCTTGTTCCTTTCTTCTGATGCAGAAGTTGGGCCATGTGGCCGACTGATGAGCTAAGGGTTCGTTGTCGATATAACTTTTCTGGTGTCGGACCCGGTTCTTGTTCTGATGCTTTTAAATACCCTGTAGCTACAATTCGGCACTGGCTTCTCATCCACAAAGTACATCTGTTATAACGCTGTGCCCGCTCTCGCCTGGTCGATTCACGCCTGTTGCTAAATTTGCGCCCTTACGCGTGGTCTGATTGACGCCTTGGCAAACCGACCGGAACGAAGACAGATGAATACTCAGCAGACCAAAGTTGTATTAGGGCAGAGAACGCTTATATTTATATGTCGGTGTTACCAGGCGGATTTGGCTCTAAGCCCACGCTCCATACATACTTGTCCGCTGCATCTGTCCAGTTCACCGTGTTGCTCGGGCACTCGCCTACCCGGTGCATGGCAACGCACGTGATGTCTGACGCGCGATTTCATCAGCTTCCGGTCAGGCCTTGGCAACACGCCTGGTGTCTGACGCGCGATCTCATCAGCTTTCGGCTGGGCCCTGGTAACACGCTCGTAGGGTCCTTCCCAAGCACGATTTGTGATAAACGCGCGAGCGTTGGCTCCCAGCTTTCTCGCCCAGTTGTCAACATCGTACTGATGCAGGGCTGTGGCTATCTGCCATTGTTCCTTACTACTTCTTAGCAATTCACGCACGGCGTCTGTAGCCACAACGATTCCATGGAAGCTGCCACCATATCACTTAGCCAGTTGTTGGGGGAAGCGATCAGCTGAGTCTCATTCAATCGAATGTAGACGCTTACTGCTCGGGCCCAATACGCAGTTTGCGGCATCTGGATGGAACTCAATTTGTGATCTCGTACTGAGATGTGGAGATTTGATAACTTTTGATTTGTACCATATTTCTTATTCCTTTGATTTCCTATAGAAGCCAACTTCATATTGATACATATGTACTCCTGTTTCGGCTTGTTTAGTTTAGTTATTCTCATTATCTGTGTAGGTGGGAGTGGTTCGCGTATATATATATATATATATATATATATATATTGCAACAGTCTATGAATAGACATTGCACCATCGAAAACCATGGAACTCAAAACAAGGTACAGCAATAGTAAAAGAAAACACAACACATCAAAGTCCACGGTTTCGTCAGAGGGCGAAATACTACCCGGTTGCCCAAGCCGAAGTAGGGTGTTGACTTAGGGGACACCACCCCGAGCCTTTGGCTGAATAGCCTGTCCGCAAGGCAGCGGAGCGAATTCAGGGAATCGCGCCCATTGGGAGCCGGTGACTGATTGATCAGTTCATACGCCTTTCGTTTGTTCCTTTGCCAAACAGGGGCCCAATGCTCCCCGAAATTACAGCATCAACTTGCTGGAATACAATGCTTCGCCAGGATGAAGCAAGGGGCAGTGACTTTATTTAGTGGCGAGTCACGTCCGCCACGTCACAGTGTTGTTAAACGGACGTATGTGGCTTTTTATAGGGAGAACGCTTGCCAGGCGAAAACCCACCACGTCCTGGAACACTGCCGCCGAACAATTTGCTGGAACGGGAAAATCCCGAACCACCCAGCTGGCACCACGAGGTTGTTCGGCAAGCCAGCTGAGTGGTTCGCGAACGGTAAAACAATGCTTATATCACTTCTGATAATCATCCACCAAGGTTGCTTCGTTCCTTTCGATAGCCCTTTCACCTACCTTGATGACGAGATGTTAGTGTGCTATTCAACAGTAGAATACGTACTGCCGTTTTGCGGTTAGTTTTATTCTTTGGATTAGAAAACTGGTCACTTTTCATATTGGGTGAGCGATAATTGCTGGGACTTGTCCACTGCGCTCGACTCGAACCGCCTACTTTGGTTCATCACGTTCTTCGCCTATCCACTGGCCACGTTCCTGTACATGTGTTGCTCACTGACGGTGCACCGTGTTGAGTGGGGCTCTTGCATGCTTAGTTAGTGGTACGTTTTGGGGTATGAAAAAATTGACTGTGGTTCATTCGGGAAATGTGTGGTTGTTATGTCTATGATTAACGGGGGATAGAACTGTCGGAACAGAAATGCGAACATCAAATCAGCACAACACTGGCAATACAGTCGACGATATAGGATAGAGAAGTGGGTGTGTCATACAGGCCGCTTCTCTCGCTAGCCGGTCTCAAACACACGGATCACATTGAGTCTTGGGGTTGAGTGCAGTTCATGACTGGCGCCGTGCACTGGCATCACACATATTGGTGGATATGACAATGGTGTCTTTGCATTCAGTGTGATGCTTATAGCCCAATTTAACAATTACTGCTTTCTCTGATCTCGTTTTCCCTTGATATTTACGTGCTTGGCGTCATCCTCTCGTTCTCCTTGACCTATGTTAATCCTTCCTGTCACGACGTAACATTCATCCCACCTTGGCAGTTGGATCACACTTGGCTTACCTGCGCTATGTCAAACTCTTATGCTCATGTGCGTCCTTTTTTGCTATTCGCTTTCTTAACCCCACTGCGTTTTATTTTTCAGTCCGCTGTCGGTCATGACCACATCGAACCGGTTGAGAAACACAGTTCTCAGATTGATTATCGAACCGGTTTCGGTGGAAGGTTTGGAGTTCAATCGGACAGGCAAGATAAGGTGTGTTCACCCTTTGAGTGTTCTTTCTCTTATTGTGGCTGCTGTTTTTCGTATTGCTAAAGCTGTTTTTGTTTTTGTCGCTCTCTATGGAATCCGCCACTACAAGGAGTACATCTACTACTATCACTACACGTCCTTGTAGATTCGGTTACTGTTGGCTACTTCGCTCTTTCTGACATTCGATGTTGCGTATCAGCGCTTATCTCATTCTCACACATCACACTGCATCTCTCATTTTCTCGGGTACATCCCTGTAAGCTCCACCGCGATTCAAATTGCCACTCTGGGCTATAACTGCACTACTGATGCTCAGGAGTCCGTAAACTGATATACATTGAACGGACCATGCATTGTGCACATTGTTCCGATTCGATAATAGCCGAAGGGGGAAGTGTTCCTCTTTTCTACTCACATATATGTGTCTGAGACATCCAAGCTTGTGTTGTCACGTCATGAGTTACCGTGTCATAGGTAGCCTCATAAGTGAATGTTCTTGCCGAAAACATGCGGAATTGAGCTACTGCGAAAAGGGGATGGAAAAAGTGCATAGAAAGATACCAAGGGCGATGGAGTAAACGCCATAGAATGTAAGTGGGATTATAGAAAGGTAGAAGTCATGCAATTCTCTTGTAACGTCACTGCAGAGTAACGTATTAATGTTCTCAAAGATAACTGAAGCGATTATGGTACATAAAAGGAAATGCAAATTTAAACTTATCGATGGCACGCTTAAAGAGTTGAGGCAAAAGAAGCAGCGGGTGGCTCTGAATCAGAACTGAGATGATAACTTCAGAGTGGTTTGGGAAACCAAGCATCTCCTCCGACTGGCAACTGAGAAATTGTCTCAGCCCTCGGTCAAGTAAGCCTATCAAGACGCATTGCGTACCGAACTTTCGCTGTCTTGTCGTAAGGACACTGAGCTTCAGAGGAATAGGATCTGGGACGCCATGCACGACGCAGGAGCTTCTGCTTGTGGCACTATCAATCGTCACCGCACCCGTCACTGGATATCCTAGAGGTCGATGAACCTGTTGGAATCTAGAAAACCCCTCCCGACTGGCTCTGAACACAATGTGACCAGATGGGCTATTAGGCGTGAAGTAAAGCAGAGCCTACGTGCCAACAAGGAAGCCTGGTGGACCAGTCGGGCTAAGGAAATGGAAGAGGCAGGAGCAGTGGGCAATTACCGCAAGCTCTTCCAGCTAACCCGCACCACTGGTCCCAGAAAATCATGCATCAGTGAGACAATCACAGTGTGGGTACGCTGATACACAATAAGGAGCACCGTATGGCTCGTTGGACGGAACACTTCCAAGATCAGTTCAGCTGGCCCCCTGTTCCCGGACCTCTTCCGACGCAGGTGATGCAGGACGAGCCATGGACGGTTAGTTTAGAGCCTCCGTCGGAGGCCGAGGTCCGAAACGCGATCACAGCACTCAATCGTTTTCGTGCCACTGGCCCGGATTCCCTCCCACCTGCACTATTTAAGGATGGAGATGAAGTCCTCTGCAAACCACTGATCTCCCTATGCGAACGTATCTGGAAGGAAGAGTGTCCCGGCTAATTGGAGCGAATCGATTGTAGTGGCAATATACAAGAAGGGCAGTCGCACAAACTGCTCTAACCACAAGGGTATTAGCCAAACACCAGTTGTGACAAAATTACTAACCTCGATTCTCGTTCGTCGCCTCACTGAGGAACGGGAATCTCGAATTAGGGAAGAGCAGTCCGGTTTCCGTCCAAGACGTGGCTGTATAGACCATATATTCACCTTGCGGCAGATGCTAGAGCAACGCCACGCATACCGCAGACCAATAATAGCTGTGTTCCTCGAGTTCAAGAGTGCGTTCAATTCAGTCGATTGATCGATTCTCTTCGAAATACTTGCGAGGTAATGTATTCCCACGAAATATGTGAACATCCTTCGTGCTCTACACTCGAACACTACAGGCCGCGTCAGGGTCTACGGTGTCTTATCGGATAGCTTTCCGACCACAAGTGGCGTTCGTCAGGGTTGTCCGATTCCCCCATTTCTGTTCAATTTCATCGTGGATTCTATCATGGAGTGTTCCCATGGGGAATCTCACGATGTAGGCGTTGAAGTGCTGCCTCGTGACAGCTTAGTTGTTCTTGATTATGCGGACGATATCGCCTTGCTTTTCGACCATATTGCGACGGCACAATCAACCCTGAATAGCCTGTCCAGTGGCCCCATTATTTGGTATGCATTTCGCACTTACAAAGTGCAAAGTGTTGCTGCAGGACCACCAGCCACTGTGTGACCCCTTGACGCTTGCTAACGAGGAACTCGAGGTGGTTGATCAATTCACTTATCTTGGCAGCTGCATCAGCAACGATAGGCGCATAGAAACTGACGTCAGCTCACGCATTGCAAAGACCTGGGCTGTTTTCTTGAACCTGCGGCATCTTTGACGACAGAAGGGAGTTTCCCTTCGTCTGAAAGGCCGTGAATACAAGGCTACAGTGAGGGCCGTTCTGCTCTATGGTAGTGAGACTTGACCCCTTCGGTCTGAAAATCTGAGGCGCCTTCAAGTCTTTGATCATCGTTGTTTGCGAAGCATTGCTGGTGTCGGTTGGCGCCAGCTTGTCCGCAACGATGATGTGCGTGGGCGAGTACGAGTGAGTGATAATTATGCTAGCGCCTTAGAACAACAGATAGCATTGAATAAGTTGCTTTGGCTTGGGCACGTGCTACGTATGCCTAGTCACCGCTTACCTAGGAGGGCCTTGTTCAGGCTACCAGGTGTAGGGTGGCGCAAGGCTCAAGGTGGACAGAAGTTGACTTGGCAGCGGGAAATGAAGTCACTGGCGACCAAACTGGGGGCCGTTGGTCCGTCTCGCTTTCCGGGCTGGAGTCCATGTGACTCGCCTTGTGCTTGGCTCGAAACTTTGCAGGACATGGCTCGCAACCGACATCAGTGGCGCGTCTGCTGTCGTCTCCTAATCGGATTGCCTGTTTCAAGTGTGTTTGGTGCTGAGTGATCTGCGGGGTAATGGCTGATTATGACGCGTGGCAGTGAAAACCGCAAGGAAGTTGTCTCGCTGATGCCGCCTTATCTTTGTACGATAGTCAGCTATTTGTGACAGTATGTTGTCTACACAAGGTGTAGGCGCCTTGACCCTGAATGTTTTCGTAGGGCATTAAGGTCTTCTGATAAGTCCCCCTTCTCTCCATCTTCTTATTCTCTATGTTATAGCTCCTCATTATTTTGTCAGCGAAGCATCAGTTCAAGTGACTGCTGTACTGTTGTTGATGATGATGTAGTTGATGACCAGTTTTCCGCTTTTGACACAGCTTCCTCACCCCAGGTGAATCAGTATGCGATTGGAGCGGCATTTTGTAGCAAACAAGGACGAAAATCGCGATGATCGAGACTTTTGCCAAGGTGTTATTAAAGCCACAGTTCGGAATGTCACCCCATTTGGCTCATCCACAATGGAAATTGTCCAAGTCTTCTCTTGTGTGTCATAGCATTGACAGAGACCCAGTCGACTTGCTCTTTCCAATCTTTGATGCTGAGTTTCTCTGGGTGCAAAAATGTAGCAGATTGGGGATCATAGCAGGGGGATGAGGCGTGTGCCTTTTCACCCGAAGTCCACTGTTTCGGTTATACTTATGTGCTGCGATCTCGCAGTGTCTCCAGTTTGCTCGCTGCTGTTGGTGGTTGCGTGCCAGCGGAACTTCCGTGCGAAGTAACGTCATGCTGCTGGTGCGGTGTCAATGCACTCGTTGCACTAGTGTTTGCGAGAGTGTGCGGTGTGGCTCGCATCAGGGGGAAGGGAGAATTTGGATAATGGCTCAGATAGAGTATCAAATATAACATATGCTCTCTTCTAAATATTCCACATTTCTTGTAGATACAGATCCTCAGTGGTTAGTTGTCGTACAAGTGATTTTGCAACGTTTTGCGGGACGACGATTTGTATTTCAGCTTTGATCGGCCGAGGGATCAGCTAGCTCTAACCGGGTGTGGTAATGTATCCCATTCTATTGTGTTATGTGCACGGAAGAACTTTGCACTTTTTGCATTGAATGCATTTGTTTGCTATCTACTTTTCAACCTTTGACTTGATCTGAAGTCTATTTTTACATCAATTTATACAAGGATGCAGCTTCAGTTTAGATCTTCCTTGTGCACTACTGTACAGCTGTTGGTGTCTAGCATTGTGTCGCTGGTTTGCAACCAGAAGGTCACCGGTTCGAATCCGCGTAGAGGTGGGCGTCCTCGAGGTATACTCAACACGTGCGCGACTGATGGTGGTCATGTAACAGCGAAGCGCCGTTATGGCGTGCAGCTGGCAATTTATTCTTTTATTGTGTCGCCAACAACTTTCACTCGTGTGGCGTCTGATGAATGACTGCGGCAAGCGCTCCAGGGGCTGAAACTTGCTACGGCGTACGTAGGTGATGTGATTTGTCACTACACTACAGTGAGCGAACACAGCTTTTGCAGGCTACCAGCTTCGCTCCAGGTAAGCCTGTTGAACCGTTGATGTAACCTAGCGTGTGTATTACTTTGTTGACTCTTATTATGCATCGACTGAAGAGCTGAGTATGTCGAATTAGGTTTTATAAGGTCACGAATAGAGTAGGTAAGTTGGCTCACCATTAGCATTTAGTCAACTCATTGGGACGCTACTTCTGATGTGAAGAAAGCATTAGTGGTGTGTTGAAATCTTGGTCGGTCGGCGGATGATTGTCAGGCGAGCTCCGAGTTGAAAGACATGGACGATCCTCGTATCATCCGCAAAAGGAGTGGTTTACCTTAGCGTATTCTATTGAAAATATCGTGAGTGTAGATGGGAAATAACTTGTAGTTTGAGGGCCCCGTAGTTAGCATGAGAGTTTACGTACGTCTCTCTAAACTTGACTGGATAGCATGTGACTGAAATTTGGACAGGTATCGCGCATGTGCTACACAATCAAATGTTTGATGCATATCTAGGAAAATCACGGTTACTGCATATTCGGCTTCCGT